TAAAAGCACATCATCTAACCAACGATGGCGGAGCTGGCTCCAATTGGCTGAGCGTCAAGCTGGTCCAAGATGAGCGCAGCGTAGAGAGGGTCGTAGCTGTTTCTACCTCTACGGGCGGAGGGGGCGTAAGGGGAGGCAATCTGGTTGAAGCCGTGCAATAGACCGGGATGGTTGATATCAAGGGCATCAGCAAGGAGGTAGTCGTTGAGGAAGTTGTTGTATCCGTTGTCGTGTCGTTGTGCGTATCCAGATCGTGCAGCAGCAGGTGCCCGTGCAGCCTGCCTAGGTCTGTCTTGGTTGATGATAATCACCCTGGGTTGTTGGTTGGCATACCCTTTGACAGTCCTGGGCTGCACTTGCAATCCTGAAGCACCTGGAATTAAATCCCTTAGGTATTAGAGTGAGTGAGTATGGCGTTTTCGGCAACATTACTTCTACGATCCCAAAAGAAAGGGTGTCCCAGAATGTTCCAAGTTTTTGGATTGAACAGCCAACGCTTTAACTATACTGGTCCTCTGCCGTCAGTTCCTCAGAGGTATGCATGATGGTGTGTATGGCCCATGAAAGTCCAGAAGGATGGAGACAATAAAATCATAACGATTTCCATCAACGATTCATTGTTAAAACACACTGATAATAGGAGGTCAACAGTCAGGAATAAGGTAGAATACCCACTATTTGCTAGAGGTAATGAGTAGTTAAATGACGCTGAGTGACATTCATAAATTTCATATTTTTGTTCCGGGTAATGAGTTTGACGATGCGATTGACTTCAATACTTACGAATGTAACGGGCATCACTTATGACACACAAACAGGCCAGGATGGCAGCAGGTAGAATTATAGCCGTCCTCATGATTCGGGTGGTTGTAATTTCTGTTCTGTAAAAGTGAATGTATAACGAACATTAATGTTAAATGCAAGATGATATAGTATATTGAAAAGTAATATTTAATGCAAGTTATATCAACAAACATAATGACAACACACTTCGAGGTGTATTAATGGTTAGTCGACCATTATATTTGCTTTGGTTCAGAGTTTACTATTTACATTTACTGACTGAGATTTTATGAAAGCTAACAAATGACACATTCGCACACATATATTTAGATCTCCCGAACAGGTGGTGAGGTAAAATGGGGTTTAATGTCGCTTTCAAAATTATTGCACTCATATAGTGACATGTATGCACGTGTGTGTTTGTGTGTGTTTTCTTGTACTAGTCCGGACTAATGCCGATTTTATAGTGCTAGCCCACTGGCATTGCCGCAGTTTGACGTGAATAGTGAGTGAGTGAGTATGGTTTTACGCCACTTTTAGGAATGTTCCAGCAATATCACGGCGGGGAACACTAGAAATGGGATTCACACATTGTACCCATGTCGGAAATCGAACCCGGGGCTTTGGCGTGACGAGCGAACGCTTTAACCACTAGGCTACCCGGTCGTCCCTTGACATGAATACCCCACTCAGACACAGTATAGTGACTCCGAGCCGACCACTCCTTGCTTTAGCCCCTTAATGCCGAGCGCCTGGCAGGGTAACAACAAGTATCATCTTTTTTTTTTATGTATTTTGGTGTGACGCGGCCAAGGATCGAAGCCCGGACCTTCCGCTGTTTCCACGAGGCGATCTCTAACGGACAGGTGCTTAATACACAATAATATAAGGATGCTGAAGAACATGACACGTGATCACATCAAGTATACAAGCGATATTAGACTCCACAGTCGGTTTACAAGAAAAGATAAATTGACAAGAAAATATAACAAACAGTTGGCTCACCTGTTGCTGCTGCTCTGTGGCTACAATTGGAGAATGATGGTGTCCAGAGAAATGAGGAATACTTTTATACACCAGCCGGACATCCTTCAGGGAGCATCGTGACACAGTGACGTAACAATGGTCACTGTCATGCAACTTACCCTGACAATACCATGCCTGTATTGGTTGGACAGTCAAATTCGTTTGTGACGTAATAATGAAATGTTACGATGTTCTTACATGTGACAAGACGTCCATCATAAATCAAGCCTCCTTGTACCCATCAACGAGATGAAAATATCCCGAGGCAGAATTTAGACAAAAACAATTACAGGTTCATCAATAGATTTAACTACAATTACATATTCATTGACAGTGACTTACACGAGTGCCTGTCATACAAAGATTTTAAGGAATGCACAGTGTGTTAAAACTATAGTTTTGCCTAGAACAACCCGTGACAAGATAAAAAAATGAATTGCTTTAATGTTGACATCGTATACAGCTGATGAATGATTCCTGAATGTAATTTTATAAGATTTCCAACTTGAAATTGTCACTTTCATACTTATGGAAAAGTGTTTAAACTTGTTAGTACAATTATCGGACTGCCCGGCCATTACTTTCTGTTCTATGACACAGTAAAGAAGTACAGTTGAAATATGTAAAGACGATCGAATTTTCAAACAGGAGACGATATATCTGCATCTGAATCCGTGTCCAAGATATCTTTATTAACATACATTTGTCTCCACTTACATCTGCAAAGAAAATCAGTTTGGTTCAAAATACTTAAGTAAGCCTTGACAAATCTATCCTTCAGAAAAAAACACGCACAGAGCAAATGATTTCTGTTTGTGTGCGCACATAAGAAGGGTAGCAGGGTCATGGGTGTATACGTGCATGTGTATGTATGTGCCTGAAGGTTTTGATAGATTCATTGTATTCACAGAATTGAATTGGATGAAAATATCACCCGTGTCATCTTGTATTTTTATACACAAAGGTACCGCTTTTAAAAGGGTTGCGGTGATATTTTGTATGTGCCTGTGTCCTAGAAGGGTAGCGATGATTGTGTGAGTAAGTTCCTGTTTGTTATATTATGAGTGTGTGTATAGGGGTAGCAGTTGGTTGTGTGTGTATATTCCTGTAACTGAGAAGGGTAGCGATTTTTTTGTTTATATCTTCTTGTATATAAGAAGGGTAGCAGATGATTGTCAGAGTATGTGCCTGTATGTGAGAAGGGCAAAGATGATTGTGTGTATGTTCCTGTATGTGAGAAGGGCAAAGATGATTGTGTGTATGTTCCTGTATGTGAGAAGGGCAAAGATGATTGTGTGTATGTTCCTGTATGTGAGAAGGGCAAAGATGAGTGTGTGTATGTTCCTGTATGTGAGAAGGGCAAAGATGATTGTGTGTATGTTCCTGTATGTGAGAAGGGGAGCTATGATTGTGTGTTTGTTTCTGTATTAAGAAGGGTAGCAGATGGTAGTGTATTTATGTCCCTGTATGTGCCGTATTTTCTGTTGTTTGTGAAATGGAACACTTACGTTGCCTGTGTATGTGTTTGTGATGGGTGCCACTGGTGATGTAGGGTACGCTCACCTTTTCGCGAACACCTGGTATTTTCCCTATTTCATAGTGATTCATTAACACATGCTAATGATATAGTCGGAATCGTACAATGGACTTTCAAGAGATATTTCTGATAATTATGGAAAGGGTTTTGTCCCTTTTACTTAAACTAGGACTATTTTTTCAGTCCTTTACTGTTGTATTTCTTTACCTTACAAATGCAAGCAGCTCACGTGACATACAGTACCACTCAGACATTGTTAAAAGCTTGTACTGTTACTTGTTGATGCCTGTGTGGCTCCTAGCACTAAAGCTCGCTTGCAAAATCAGATTAATATATTACCATGTATTATAATTAATATATATAATATGAAAAAACAAGATAAACAATTTTGGCTATTTCTTATGTTTATATAATGACGAGAATCAAATGAGTGTAGCTAAAAATTATATAAATATATATTTCTTTCTCCATTCAACGCAAGCGGCAATCTAAGAAAAGAACATCGAACATACCAGCTGACTTACCATGTTTATTTAGTTCTGCTTTTGGTTCAAATTAATATGGAAAGTGTTTTGTTGCTTTTATTTTAAATTAAAACGAATCTTAGCGTTCGGGGCTGATGTATGAGGTGTGCTGCTGCTCGAACAATGTAGGATCTCCATACAGTTTCCAAAGACAATGAACCACAAAAGGGGACTACCCAAAGTCATCAAAAGAAAGAAATGGTTCCAAATAAAGTAATAGAAACAAGGAAAGATATCAAATTTATCAATGTCTAAGCGGCAAAAATAGATTTCGAAAAAAATTAAAAACAAAATACAAGACAACAAAAGAGAAAATTCTAAGTCAAACTAAGGATTCTCTGAGGGCAAAGTTAAGGGCTTGGACAGAAAGAAAAAGGAAGGTGGACCAAGAAAAACAATTTCATAAAACAAAATAAACTGTTCAAGTCTAATGAAAATGAGTTTTACAGGCAATTAGATGCAACCAATGGCAGTTAAGACCATTGTTGGAGAAAAGACGAACAATGGTTTCCAGTGAAAGGTTTTGGAAACAGTTGTGGTCTATACCCGGCAACTACAACTTCGTGGAACCATTGATAGAGGACTACAATAATGACGTACATGCCAAAGTAAAGTCACCTTTGTTGTGCTTCATTACACCCGATTGCCTGAAAAGGGTAATTAAAAAGTCCAAATCAAATACGGCGCCATGGCCTGATGGTATTCGAAACCGCTTTTGGAAACTGTTCCCATGTGTTAAAAACAACTTTACTTCACTGTTTTAATTCTCTTGTGTATACAGGGGATGTTTCGCCTAGGTTGTGAAAAGGTCGAACACTACTTCTCCCAAAGATTTGACTGATCCCCAAAACTTCCCCCCTATGACTTGTCTGCATACACAGTACAAAATATTTACAGGGTGTCTCACAGATCTTGTGTCATCATACAGCGCTTTCAATGACATTATTTACATGGAGCAGAAAGGAGCCTGAAAGGAACAATGCATACATTGAACTGTCTTGCGTCACAGTGGACACTGTGCATTCTCGTTGTGTGACAGGTGATAGATTCCTCTCCCTCCTCCGTTGTCCGGCCCATCACGATGACTGTTGACGGGTGGACGAGGGAGGTATATAAACCAAGACGGCCGTCACCAGTATCATTCCTTCTCCACCCTCGTCAACAGCTGACCAACAACAGCAACTGGTGAGTTCAATGATTGCTTGCAGCCGCTTAATATCGCCAATACAGTTCTTCTCCTAATGGTCCTAGATATTTGGACAAATACTTTGTACATATGACCTTCTGAAACGCAAGACCGAGTTAACGCAGATGTTTCGATACACTAAGAGAAAAGTTACAAATTAGCCTTAATGGATAATGTAGAATCATAACGACATAAGGTACTCTGGTAGTAATTATCAACCACATGTGGTATTTAGTATGCTGAATATAAGGAAGTTAGTATCCATCCATTCTACATATATCTGCTTACTTGTTTGGATTAAGTTATTACCACGTGTGGTACAGGGTGTGCTGTGTTTAAGGAACCTTGTATCCATCCATTCTATATATATCATTGCTGGAATATCGCTAAAAGCGGCGTAAAACCTCACTCACTCTACATATATCTGCTTACTTGTTTGGGTTAAGTTATTACCACGTGTGGTATATAGTGTGCTGTGTTTAAGGAAGCTTGTTTCCATCCATTCTATATATATCATTGCTGGAATATTGCTAAAAGCGGCGTAAAACCTCACTCACTCACTCAGCATATATCTGCTTACTTGTTTGGGTTAAGTTATTACCACGTGTGGTATATAGTGTGCTGTGTTTAAGGAAGCTTGTATCCATCCATTCTATATATATCATTGCTGGAATATCGCTAAAAGCGGCGTAAAACCTCACTCACTCTACATATATCTGCTTACTTGTTTGGGTTAAGTTATTACCATGTGGTATATAGTGTGCTGTGTTTAAGGAAGCGTGTATCCATCCATTCTATATATATCATTGCTGGAATATTGCTAAAAGCGGCGTAAAACCTCACTCACTCACTCAGCATATATCTGCTTACTTGGTTGGGTTAAGTTATTACCACGTGTGGTATATAGTGTGCTGTGTTTAAAGAAGCTTGTACCCATCCATTCTACATATATCTGCTTACTTGGTTGGGTTAAGTTATTACCACGTGTGGTATATAGTGTGCTGTGTTTAAAGAAGCTTGTACCCATCCATTCTACATATATCTGCTTACTTGGTTGAGTTAAGTGTTGTACTGGTCATGTTTCGAGGTTTGTCAGTACCATATACGTGTCTGAGAGTTTACGAAAGTGGTAAAATTTTGGACTTTCCTCCCACATGTTTAAGATCTGAGCCATGATATAACTGAATCACTCGTAACTGACTCACTTGGGTCGGTCAGTATTAACAAGTACTGATTTTATTTGTTGACGTGTTGTTTTCAGAAAGCCTACCGGACAACAAACAGGTGCTATGAGAACGACCACCATCTTGGCCATGGCCGTACTAGGCTGTTGCTGTCTTGTGACCGACGCTTTCGTAATTGGTACGTACATTCCTACCATGTGTCATCAAGAACATACTGTTTCCTGAGTTGTCCATAGATCCAGCTGGCATGCGACGGAACTGCTTCATGATGCGGCCATAATTCTGTCTGAGTTCCCCCTTCGTCTAGGACGTCGCACGCTGTGCATAAACGTCGGAGACCTCACGTCGGTTTTCCTCCCACATCAAACTAACACGCCATGATATAGCTGGAATACTGTTCAAAATGGCGTTGAACCAAATTCACTCACTCACTTTGTGGAGAGCAGAAATCAAAAGATTTTCATTAATTCGAGTACCAGCTATATTAAGTTCAGGGATGTGCATGAAGATAATACGGAACGAAAAATGTTCTCAGCCGATTCAGTGGTATTACCATTTGCATTTTGTAATAATCTGTCAAAGAATTTAACAACAGGTGTTACCGACGGGACAGGATGCTCACCTTAGTGAGTATTGTTTTACGCCGCTTTTAGCAATATTCCAGCAATATCACGGCGGGGGACACCAGAAATGGGCTTCACGCATTGTACCCATGTCGGAAATCGAACCCGGGTCTTCGGCGTGACGAGCGAACGGTTTAACCACTGGGCTACCCGACCGCCCCTGCACATCCTAGGGCGAACACCTGGTATCATCACTTCTGATAGTGATCCATAAACATATGCCTTTGGTGTAGTCTGAATCGTACAATGGACTCTGCGTTTAGCCTAAGGTAGTAATAATGCTCACCTTAGGGCGAACACCTGGTATCATCACTTCTGATGTAGTCGGAATCGTACAATGGACTCTGCTTTTAGCCGACATTTCTTATGATTATGAAATATGGAGTTGTCGCTTGTACCTACATTGCATTTTGGTCTTCTTGCAGGTTCCCCATATGGCATCAATCCTTACATTCAACTGATAAATCGCCGTCAAATTCCACGATTTGGACGTCAAGTCATCTACAATCCCACTAGAGCAATCCGAGGAAAAGCCATCAAGTCCACTCAAGTCAAACAGGTTGCTCCTGCTCGACCAGCCCCACAAGCTCAGAAAGTCTATCCCCCAGCCCCACAAGCTCAGAAAGTCTATGTCCCAGCCCCACAAGCTCAGAAAGTCTATCCCCCAGCCACACAAACTCAAAACGTCTATCCCCCAGCTCCACAGCCCCAGTATGTCGTTGCCAATGGCCTACCTGATCACTACGGTTCCCAGATCGATCAAGGATACGACACTCAGCCTATACATGCTTCCAACAGAAACACACTTAGACACCAACCCTTCCCCCAGAATACTATCATCATCATCAAGGAGGACTCCCCTAATCCCCGTGGTGCTTCCGCCCCTGCACAGGCTCAAGCCCCACTCGCCCCAGCCCCTGCTTCAATCGTAATCGATGCCCCTACCCCAACAGACCCTTTCTCAGCCGCTGGCCCAAACTTTGCAGACCCTTTCAATGCCCCTTTCCCAGCAGACCCTTTCTTTGATCCCACCACAGCCTCTGCAGACCCTTTCTCCCTATCTAACCCTGTAGATCCATTGGCTGCCCCCACATCTGCGCCAGCTAAAACAGCAGCTTCCCCACAGGTACCCATCCCAGAACCCAACTCTCCAGCAGGGGCTGCATCTGGCCTCTACCCTGGTGCTTCCCAACGTGGATACGACGCCCTCGACAACATGTTGAGACTCAGCATGCTCGCTGAAATGGAGCTTCCTCACTATGGAGGACATCACAACTTGCACCAGCTCGCTGAAACCCTTGGAGCACCTGCCAGCCGGGGTGCAGCTCAGTATCAAGCTTCCAAGTCCTCTTCCCTGGGTCACCAGAACCAGTACGATCGCTTGTTCTCACAGCACCTCGCTGAGGCACTAGACCTTCCTCCACAACAAGGCCACCCAGCGTCAGGTGCTACCCACAATGCACCCCTCGCTAACAACCCCAACGTAGCTGTGTCACAAGCAGCAGCAGCAGCAGCGGCACCGGCAGCAGTAAAGGCAGCATCACCAGCAGCTAAACCAGCTGGAGGTCCCCATGGTTACAACCCTTATGACCTCTACTCCATGCATCTCCGAGAGGCTCTTGACCTGCCTCCTATGCCCCCTATGCCTCGCGTGTGATGTGATCTTGCCTTCACATGACTGGTCGGTGCTCTAGCTTTCCACCAGTTAGCTCAGGATGATTGGCTCAGATACGTCTCAGATAGATGCGTCTGAATTAATTATTTGTGTATGGTATAATTTCAAAAGAAAAATTGACCAGAGGTTGACATGTCACTAGGTCATCGTTGGTGTTTGTGTCTGATAATAAACATTTGAGAACGAAACAATATTTGGTTAGCTTTTCATCTACACCTCTGTTTAGTTACTTGGCGTACTATAATTATAAACAGAACAGGACAGAATTTATATTGTATAGTCTGGCCATGAGGCCAATAGTAAAGATGGTTGGATAATATTTGACATATTCAATCAATTCAATTCTTTATTCATGTACATGTGTAGGCCAGCGGCCCATGGTACAATATATGGTCCATCATTAACATTTATAGGCTTCGTGTTTGGAGTCTAACATTCATGGCATGGTATATAAAAGTTGCAACATTTCTAATAACAGTTTCATTGTTTACCGCCATAACATTTTAGAACTATTTGCTAAAGACCAATGCCAATCCTGTTCGTAAGCAAATTTTAAACGATCTTCACATTCGGAAATAAATGATTCAGGTCAAATAACATATTGGTTCTCCCATATATATCCAAATCCAAGGCTGTATAAAAGTGTTTTGACTTTTGTAGCCCAATTAGTTTTACCATGTGTGGCTAGCTGAAATAACATATCCTAACTTTTCTTAGGATATCGTGAATTTGGGAGGGACATAAGTTTACACCAATATTTTATACAGCGTTTATACGCAGAAATGTACAGTGGGTATCTTTCACACTCTCCCCGCACAACATGATTGGGAGTAGACGTTTCAACACCTAGCATTTGACATATTGTGACAGAGCGCTTTAGTTAATATTAGCTTTGGAATGTCTAAGTTTAAACATTTTTTTCAATATAAAGAGCTAGCTGAAATAAATATGCAGTCGTCATTTGTTTTGAGTAACAATACAAACATGTTCAGGGTAGGACATTGATAATAATACGAGGGCAAATACCTTAACCTTAAGTTTGCATAAGCTGGACATATAAATAGTGCATGGTATTCATCATTTAAGTCTTCTTTACAGAAATTGCATAGATTGGTCACTAGACATTCTATATTTATGTGTTTTAAAATCATTTGAACAACATCTAAATATGGTTAAAGATCTTTTTAAGTTACAGTCTTAATCGATGATAGGTATTTTTCAGGTTGTAGTAAGGATTTGTAAGTGCAATATAAATCTAGCCTTGCTGAAGTAGATATACAATATGACCATTCTTGAATAAACAAATCTCTTGTTCTTTCCTTAAATGTATAAATAAAAAACATCACAGTCTCCGACATCTTGCATCAACCATACATTTACCAAAACCATAATTAAACAATGTATATATTACAAATGAAACCTAATTTTTACGACCGTCAGGTCACTCACGTCTTAAGTATACTGGTATTTTCCTTACGTGTTCATTGCTACTGTATAGGTATAATGTTAATGTCGTGGGTTTTTTTACTTTTGAGAGCATGGGTGACCCAGCCTTCTGGAGTACCGAAATTTACCTTGCAGAGGTTTAACAGAAACCTTCTATCGTGGATTCGAATCCCATGGGATCCCATGGATGCAACGTATTTAAATTATCCCTTTTCAAGTATGGTTTTAAATGAGACTGGAATTTTGAAAATGGTATACTTAGTTTAACTGCAGCATGTAACGATTGTAGGATATAGTCGTGATAATTGCCAATGTATTCAAGAGGAGGTGAGTACTGAGTCTGGTAAAACTGACGTCAGTTTCATATCGGTATGACATAAAGTCTGCGTCATTTATCTTAACGCCAGTTAGGATGTTCATATGTGACGTGTTTGGGAATCAGTACTGAAACAGGAATATTGGACAATGGTCAGATACAGAGTATTGAACTCCAGTATCTAATGTATAACCAACAACTTTACTAACATATTGGAGTCTAATGAACACATAACCTATCATACTTCTTACAGTTTTACATTTGCCTGTGAAGGTGAAACTAGGATCTACATCAAGGGGCACGTCAGAAATTAGATCCCGCTTAGTGAGCCCTCTTTGCAGATATTTCTTTCTGCGTTTCAGCACAATTCAATAACTCAAATCTACATTGAAATCACCATGTAAAATTGTCTCCCTTTGATGGACCTCTTGATGGAAACGTCTATCATAAATCTCCGTACATCATTAAGAACTTCTATGTACACACCATCTAAAAAGTTAGATGGGGGAGGCGAGCACCACTTATATACGTAGGGCAATTACCTATGAGGAGTTAAGCCCCAATGAGATGCTTGCTTGAAAATATCTCTTTGAAATGAGTGGTCATGCTAACATTAAACGTAGACGTTAAAGTCATCATCCAAGTCATAGATAGATATTCTTTATGCACATGCAGTAAGTCATGTATACAGCTATACGTATATCACATGCAGTAAGTCATGTATTCAGCTATACGTATATCACATGCAGTAAGTCGTGTATTCAGCTATACGTACATCACATGCAGTAAGTCGTGTATTCAGCTATACGTATATCACATGCAGTAAGTCATGTATTCAGCTATACGCATATCACATGCAGTAAGTCATGTATACAGCTATACGTATATCACATGCAGTAAGTCATGTATACAGCTATACGTATATCACATGCAGCAAGTCATGTATACAGCCATAGGTATTGTACATGTAGTGAGTCGTGTATACAGCTATACGCATATCACATGCAGTAAGTCATGTATTCAGCTATACGCATATCACATGCAGTAAGTCATGTATACAGCTATATGTATTGTACATGTAGTGAGTCGTGTATACAGCCATAGGTATTGTACATGTAGTGAGTCGTGTATACAGCTGTATGTATTGTACATGTAGTGAGTCGTCTATACAGCTATAGGTATTGTACATGTAGTGAGTCGTGTTACAGCTATAGGTATTGTACATGTAGTGAGTCAGTATACAGCTATAGTCATTTTACATGTAGTGAGTCGTGTATACAGCTATAGGTATTGTACATGTAGTGAGTCGTGTATACAGCTATAGGTATTGTACATGTAGTGAGTCGTGTATACAGCTATAGGTATTGTACATGTAGTGAGTCGTGTATACAGCTATAGGTATTGTACATGTAGTGAGTCGTGTATACAGCTATAGATATTGTACATGAAGTGAGTCGTGTATACAGCTATAGGTATTGTACATGTAGTGAGTCGTGTATACAACTGTATTGTACATTTAGTGATTCGTGTAAACAGCCATAGGTATTGTACATGTAGTGAGTCATGTATACAGCTATAGATATTGTACATGGAGTGAGTCGTGTATACAGGTATTGTACATGTGTCATTGGGGCATGTCAAAGCATGAGTGAGTGAGTGAGTGAGTGAGTGAGTGAGTGGGTGAGTTAGTTGGGTTTTACGCGACGGTGTACGTCGGATAAGGGCTTCAGAGTGTACCCATGTTGGGAATCGCACCCAGGACTTCTGAGGTAAGCACAAAGCAGGTCGACTTCATCATATGTTCGTAAAATGTCAACATAATTTTGGGGGAAATGCCACTATCACCCTGACCTCGAACTTCATCGTGTTTACGCGAGCGACGTTTATCATTTTCAACCATAACCGAGTAGGGATGTTTTAATCAACTTATAAACCGTCTGAATGAAGGAATACCAGAAGAAATATAAAATACAAACATGGGGATACCTCATAGTGACAGAAAACAGTGGTCGCGGTCAAAAACGAATTCTAAAGACTTCTTTTAGAACCTTAAGAACAACAGGTTGACGTCACTATAGGTTGATAATTATAGTACGCCAAACAACTAAACATGAAGTCCACCTTAAGTTGTAGAAGTAAAGATAAACAAATATTGTTTCGTTCTCAGTTGTTTATTGTCATACACAAACACCAACAATGACCTAGTGACATGTCTATCTTTGGACCTAGGTTTCCTTTTAAATACCATACTCAAATAATTAATACAGATGCATCTATCTGAGACGTATCTGAGCCAATCATCCTGAGCTAACTGGTGGAAAGCTAAAGCACCGACCAGTCATGTGAAGGCAAGATCACATCACACGCGAGGCATAGGGGGCATAGGAGGCAGGTCAAGAGCCTCTCGGAGATGCATGGAGTAGAGGTCATAAGGGTTGTAACCATGGTGACCTCCAGCTGGTTTAGCTGCTGGTGATGCTGCCTTTACTGCTGTCGGTTCTGGTGCTGGTGCAGCTGCCGGTGCCGCTGCTGCTGCTGCTTGTGACACAGCTACGTTGGGGTTGTTAGCGAGGGGTGCATTGTGGGTAGCACCTGACGCTGGGTGGCCTTGTTGTGGAGGAAGGTCTAGTGCCTCAGCGAGGTGCTGTGAGAACAAGCGATCGTACTGGTTCTGGTGACCCAGGGAAGAGGACTTGGAAGCTTGATACTGAGCCGCACCCTTGCTGGCAGGTGCTCCAAGGGTTTCAGTGAGCTGGTGCAAGTTGTGATGTCCTCCATAGTGAGGAAGCTCCATTTCAGCGAGCATGTTAAGTCTCAACATGCTGTCGAGGGCGTCGTATCCACGTTGGGAAGCACCAGGGTAGAGGCCAGATGCTGCCCCTGCTGGAGAGTTGGGTTCTGGGATGGGTACCTGTGGGGAAGCTGCTGTTTTAGCTGGCGCAGATGTGGGGGCAGCGAGTGGATCTACAGGGTACGATAGGGAGAAAGGGTCTGCAGAGGCTGTGGTGGGATCAAAGAAAGGGTCTGCAGGGAAAAAGGCTGAGAAAGGGTCTGCAAAGTTTGGGCCAGCGGCTGAGAAAGGGTCTGTTGGAAGAGGGGCAGAGAAAGGGTCTGCAAAGTTTGGGCCAGCGGCAGAAAAAGGGTCCGTTGGGAGAGGAGCAGAGAAAGGGTCTGCAAAGTTTGGACCAGCGGCTGAGAAAGGGTCTGTTGGGAGAGGGGCAGAGAAAGGGTCTAATGAGATGTGGGAAGGGGCAGGGGCAGAGACAGGGGTAGGGGCATCGATTACGATTGAAGCAGGGGCTGGCGCGAGTGGGGCTTGAGCCTGTGCTGGGGCGGAAGCACCACGGGGATTAGGGGAGTCCTCCTTGATGATGATGATAGTATTCTGGGGGAAGGGTTGGTGTCTAAGTGTGATTCTGTTGGAAGCATATATAGGCTGAGTGTCGTATCCTTGATCGATCTGGGAACCGTAGTGATCAGGTAGGCCATTGGCAAGGACATACTGGGGCTGTGGGGCTAGGACATAGACTTTCTGAGCTTGTGGGGTTGGGGAATAGACTTTCTGAGCTTGTGGGGCTGGGGGATAGACTTTCTGAGCTTGTGGGGCTGGGGGATAGACTTTCTGAGCTTGTGGGGCTGGGGGATAGACTTTCTGAGCTTGTGGGGCTTGGGGATAGACTTTCTGAGCTTGTGGGGCTGGGGGATAGACTTTCTGAGCTTGTGGGGCTTGGGGATAGACTTTCTGAGTTTGTGGGGCTGGAGGGTAGACTTTCTGAGCTTGTGGGGCTGGGGGATAGACTTTCTGAGCTTGTGGGGCTGGAGGGTAGACTTTCTGAGCTTGTGGGGCTTGTGGGGTTGGTCGAGCAGGAGCAACCTGTTTGACTTGAGTGGACTTTATGTCTTTTCCTCGGGTTGCCCTAGTGGGATTGTAGATGACTTGACGTCCAAATCCTGGAACTTGCCTGCGATTTATCAGTTGATTGTCAGGATTGGTGCCATATTGGGAACCTGCAAAAAGACCAAAATTCAAACTAAGTACAAGCGACAACTCCCTATTTCATAATCATAAGAAATGTCAGCTAAAAGCAGAGTTCATTGTGCGATTCAGACTACATGATAGGCATATGTTTATGGATCACTACCAGAAGTGATGATACCAGGTGTTCGCCCTAAGGTGAGCATTTCCTACCCACCTGTGGCACCTGTAGTAAAATTAAAACCATATTTACTCACTAAGGTGAGCATCCTGTCCCGTCGGTAACACCTGTTGTTAAATTCTTTGACAGATTATTACAAAATGCAAATGGAAATACCACTGAATCGGCTGAGAACATTTTTTCGTCACCGCATTATTCGTATGACCTATTTGCACATCACTGAACCGAATACAGCTGGTACTCGAATTAATGAAAATCTTTTGATTTCTGTTCTCCACAAAGTCAGTGAGTGAGCTTGGTTCAACGCCGTTTTGATCAGCATTCAAGCTACACCATGGCGTGTAAGTTTGATGTGGGAGGAAAGCCGACGTGTACTCACGACGCATTATACTCATGACCTGTTTGCACACTAATGAACCGAGTACAGCTGTACTCGAATAAATGAAAATCGTTTGATTTCATACAGTGGCTTGATTATGGTTTTAATCTCTGTATTGTTTGACTGATGATACAATGCGCAGTATCTTCATACAACTGAAAATGTGTTTGATCATATAGAGTGAGTGAGTGAGTGAGTGAGTGAGTGAGTGAGTGAGTGAGTGAGTGAGTGAGTGAGTGAGTGAGTGAGTGAGTGAGTGGGTGGGTGGGTGGGTGGGTGGGTGAGTGAGTGAGTGAGTGAGTGAGTGAGTGAGTGAGTGAGTGAGAGTGAAATGATTTCAGCTACATTGTGACAAATAAGCTTATGAGGGAATAAAGAGAGGATTGAAATGGATGTCAAGGTGATGCAGATCTTTGACGAATACCATTTTGGCGACGCCCACGTGAAAGCTGCAGACACACCTAGAATGTTTTTCAGAGCAAAGCTTTGATTCGAACCCGACCACCACATGATTTGTGCGCGCCGAAGGGACACGGCTCGGCACAGTGAAGTGCGACGCCTTACACGACTGGGCCGCCTGTGCTCCCTGAACTTAGAAAGTAGATAGTCTTTCATACAAGATAATGCATACCATACTTTTACAAATGACGCCAAATACCCTTATGAATCACAATCAAATATCGATGATGCTGGGTGAGCCTATCCTGCGCCACTGATGTCACAACAGGAAATTGCATCGGACATAATTTTGAGTCACTGATACGTCAAATTTGGAAATATTCTCCACAAAGTGAGTGAGGCTGGTTCAAAGCCGTTTTGAACAGTATTCCAGCTATATCATGGCGTGTTAGTTTGATGTGGGCGGGAAGCCGACGTGAGGTCTCCGACGTCCTAGACGACTGGGGAACTCAGACAGTTTTATGGCCGCATCATGAAGCAGTTCCGTCGCATGCCAGCTGGATCTATGGACAACTCAGGAAACAGTATGCTCTTGATGACACATGGTAGGAATGTACGTACCAATTACGAAAGCGTCGGTCACAAGACAGCAACAGCCTAGTACGGCCATGGCCAAGATGGTGGTCGTTCTCATAGCACCTGTTTGTTGTCCGGTAGGCTTTCTGCAAACAACATAACATATAGAAACATAACTTATTAATACAGACCGCCCTGTGGCCATGGTACGATTGAGTGAGTTAGGTTTAACGCCGCTGTTAACAGTATTCCAGTTATATCACGGGTGTCAGATTGGAAAGCCTGAATTAATGCATGTCTCAGACGTTTATCACTTTGGTGAAATCCACGAGCACAGGTCTGGTGCTAACAACCTAGAACCATAATAGGTGAGAACTGGGATTCGAACCAACAATCATAGGTTTCTGGTCTGCCAAAGGGACGCAACTCTGCACAGTGCCATGAACCACTGTGTCACGTGTTGGGAATTTTCACACGTGAGACTGAAGAGTGAGGTAGTTATATCATGGATCAGATCATATACACGTGGGAGGAAAGTCAAATGTTTACCACTTTCGTAAACTCTAAGACACGCATATGGTAAACCTAGAAATATGACCAGTACAAAACTTAACCCAACCAAGTAAGCAGATATATGAAGAATGGATGGGTACAAGCTTCCTTAAACACATCGCACCCTATACCACACGTGGTAATAACTTAATCCAAACAAGTAAGCAGATATATGAAGAATGGATGGGTACAAGGTTCCTTAAACACATCACACCCTATACCACACGTGGTAATAACTTAATCCAAACAAGTAAGCAGATATATGTAGAATGGATGTGTACAAGCTTCCTTAAACACAGCACACCCTATACCACACGTGGTAATAACTTAATCCAAACAAGTAAGCAGATATATGAAGAATGGATGGGTACAAGCTTCCTTAAACACAGCACACCCTATACCACACGTGGTAATAACTTAATCCAACCAAGTAAGCAGATATATGTAGAATGGATGTGTACAAGCTTCCTTAAACACAGCACACCCTATACCACACGTGGTAATAACTTAACCCAAACAAGTAAGCAGATATATGAAGAATGGATGGGTACAAGCTTCCTTAAACACAGCACACCCTATACCACACGTGGTAATAACTTAATCCAACCAAGTAAGCAGATATATGTAGAATGGATGGGTACAAGCTTCCTTAAACACAGAACACCCTATACCACACGTGGTAATAGCTTAATCCAACCAAGTAAGCAGATATATGTAGAATGGATGGGTACAAGCTTCCTTAAACACAGCACACCCTATACCACACGTGGTAATAACTTAATCCAACCAAGTAAGCAGATATATGTAGAATGGATGTGTACAAGCTTCCTTAAACACAGCACACCCTATACCACACGTGGTAATAACTTAACCCAAACAAGTAAGCAGATATATGAAGAATGGATGGGTACAAGCTTCCTTAAACACAGCACACCCTATACCACACGTGGTAATAACTTAATCCAACCAAGTAAGCAGATATATGTAGAATGGATGGGTACAAGCTTCCTTAAACACATCACACCCTATACCACACGTGGTAATAGCTTAATCCAACCAAGTAAGCAGATATATGTAGAATGGATGGATACAAGGTTCCTTAAACACAGAACACCCTATACCACACGTGGTAATAACTTAATCCAAACAAGTAAGCAGATATATGTAGAATGGCTGGATACAAGCTTCCTTAAACACAGCACCCCCAATACCACACGTGGTAATAACTTTACCCAACCAATTTAGCAGATATATGAAGAATGGATGGAAATAAACTTCCTTATATACAGCACATCATATACCACACGTGGTAGACAATTACTACCTGAGTACACCCAGTGTACCTTATGCCGCCATGATTCTACATCATTCATTCATTTGTAACTTTTCTCTTAGTGTATCGAAACATCTGCGTTAACTCGGTCTTACGTTTCAGAAGGTCATATGTACAAAGTATTTGTCCAAATATCTAGGACCATTGGGAGAAGAACTGTATTGGCGATATTAAGCGGCTACAAGCAATCATTGAACTCACCAGTTGCTGTTGTTGGTCTGCTGTTGACGAGGGTGGAGAAGGAATGATACTGGTGACGGCCGTCTTGGTTTATATACCTCCCTTGTCCACCCGTCAACAGTCATCGTGATGGGCCGGACAACGGAGGAGGGAGAGGAATCTATCACCTGTCACACACCGAGAATGCACAGTGTCCACTGTGACGCAAGACAGTTCAATGTATGCATTGTTATCAAGTTATGGGAATATGTATAACGTCTTACAAGTCACATTATGTTTGCTTGTGGCAATGAGTCAAAAAGGAATCAGGTTAAATAATAATTTCTGTTATCTTTAAAGATCATATAGTCATGTACTATTCCAAAAAGGAGTTTAATGATAATCACGAATTTTTAACATCTTGATCCAAGGAGAAGAAATTGTGTTTTTCCATAGTTAGATATACAGAAAATATACATAAACATCACCTTTGTACGGTGGCCCATAAGGGACATGGAGTCTGTTTTTCAATATTTTGATGTTTAACTTACTTTTTTCGTAACCTTTTGCAAATTAACACAATTTGCCATACAAATATGTGATAAATCATGTATAAAAACATCCGAAAACATGGAAAATGTACTTTTATGTAGCTATTGAGTCGCTGAAATGTGAAGTGAAAATGTCAAAAACTAAAATGAAAATGTCAAAAACCAAAACGAAAAGGTCAAAAACTAAAATGAAAAGTAAAAAAACACAAAACGAAAAGGTCAAAAACTAAAATGAATACACAGTGTAAATATTATCGCCGCGGTGGAAATAGTTTTCACCGCGTAGGAAATATTATCACCGCGATAGAAATAGTTTTCTGTATTTTCATTTTAGTTTTAGACATTTTCGTTTCTTTTTTCAGCGATTCAATATCTTCTTTACACATGATTTATTACATATTTGAAGACAAATCGTGTTAATTTGCAAAAGGTTACGATAAATGTAAGTGAAATATCAAAATATGGAAAAACAGACTCCATGTCCCTTTTGGGCCACCGTACCTTTGTGACAGTCTATTATTAATTCACTTTTCCGAGTTAAAAGTCGGTGTGGTTATCTCAATGGAAATTAAGCCGTTTTGTACGGTGGCCCATAAGGGAAATTGAGTCTGTTTTTCAATATTTTGATATTTCACTTACTGTTATAGTAACCTTTTGCAAATTTACATGATTTGTCATACAAATATATGATAAATCATGTATAAAGAAGATATTGAATCGCTGAAAAGTGAAGCGAAAATGTCAAAAACTAAAATGAAAATGTCAAAAACAAAGACGAAAATGTCAAAAACAAAAGCGAAAACGTCAAAAACTAAAATGAAAATACAGAAAACTATTTCCAACGCGGTGATAATATTTCTACCGCGGTGAAAACTGTTTACACCGCGGTGGAAATAGTTTTCTGTATTTTCATTTTAGTTGTTGACATTTTCGATTTTGTTTTTGACATTTTCGCTTTTGATGTTGACATTTTCGTTTTTGTTTTTGACATTTTCATTTTAGTTGTTGACATTTTCGATTTTGTTTTTGACATTTTCATTTTAGTTTTTGACATTTTCGCTTCACATTTCAGCGATTCAATAGCTACTTGAAAGTACATTTTCCATGTTTTCGGTTGTTTTTATACATGATTTATCACATATTTGTATGACAAATTGTGTTAATTTGCAAAAGGTTACGATGAAAGTAAGTGAAATATCAAAATATTGAAAAACAGACACCATGTCCCTTATGGACCACCGTAGTTTTGTCTTGCTCAGTGTGGTCAAAACTAAATTTAAGTAGTGTTCTCTTCATGTTTCAGCCAAAACAAAAAACATCCAAGATTGATTACCATTCCACGCCAAGGAATTCAGCCTCAACATGATCAACCCAAACAAGTCTGCATATCAGTCATTTAAAGGGCAAGTTCACACGGAAATTAACCTATTTTTCTTGTACTTTTTCCACATTAAAAGTGTTAACCTAGAAGTGTCATAGACAAAAGTATAAAAATATCACAATTAATTAACATATTTTTCGCATTAAAACGATTTATATTTTTCATATTTACCAAGTGTTCTATTTCCACAACAAAAACACCATGGCTTATGCCCCTTGCAATATGACGTCATTGGTGCCAATTGATAAACATTATGACGTCATCATGCTTTGTTAGAGCCGCTTCACGTGGTGTAGGTCTAGGTGTGTGATTCTAGCGTCTCAGATGCCAGCCAGCATAGTGTTATGCTGAGTCACCACTGCGCCGGAGTGTGTCGTAGGCCATGTTGTTTTACCGCAAACTGGTACTTGATATCTTTTGCGTTAAGAATAGACAGGGACCCAGTTGAATTGGCACCAATTACGTCATAATCTAAGGGGGATAACTCAGGCCTGTTTAGCTCGAAAAACGAAGGCCTCATAACGGCATATCATTTTCACACTATTGTGAACTTCCTACTTTCACTGTGAAAAAAATGAGTGTATATTTTCAAACACAGATACTAATTAATTCTAAAATTGCGTTTTGTTTAGAAAAAGAAAGAAAGTGATTTTTGCGTGTACACTTCCCCTTTAAAACAATGTCCTCATTTCACTTACGTATGGAGTGGGTTTCACCGAAGTGGTAAACGTCTAAGACCGGCATCACTTGGGGCATTCCTCCCACATTAAGCTGACACGCCGTGATATGACTGGAATATTGTTAAAAGCGGCGTTAAACACAACTCACTCACTCACTTACGTATGGAAGCGTTTAAGTGCCACAGTCTAAAAGGTTTTTTATCATCTACGTAGATAATACTTTCATCTACGTGGAATATACTTTCATCTCCGTATGTGATAATATAATCATAAGTATCGTGACTCAGACATTGATATTGCAAAAGGTTGCGAGCCTAGTTAAAACAAACATTTTTTTTTTTTCAATAAAGTTAATTACTTAATTACTGTTAATTTAATTAAATGTTTGGGAACATGTTGCTTGTTTATTTTCATTTGTCCCTTTCGGTATCTTTACAACCTACTGAGATCTTTTCAAAATGTCAAACAATCAGCGCTAAAACAAATGCCCAAACTGCAGAATTGGCCTTCAGTGCTTTATAGGATGACGACGAGTATTGGTTTGCTATAGGGTTAAAGTTCAGATGATTCTCACCCCTTCCTATTCACGTTTCACCTCTTAAACCCAATTTCCGTAATGGAGAAATCATGAGAATCAAGATACTATATTCGACGTAATAAGCGCCTAGGGCGCTCTCAAAATAAGAAATAGGGGGCTCTTATTAGAGTATAAGTTTGGTGAGCAAAAAGAGAGTTGAAAGATCGTAAATTTCGTGGTTTATGCTGACAGCCTGTAGTGATACAGAAGAAATTATACTCGACAGATATATTTTTCAGAATTTAATTGCCCATAATTAAGGGTGCACATAGCACACGAGTGTGTATTATACACAAATAAATAGGTCTTATGTACAATGATCAATTGGAAGGGATGTTAATTTGGATTGTTCACTAGCCAATATATTAGCAAATATCGCCGTGGGCGCTTATTAGGACGGGGCGCTTTTTACGTCGAATACGGTGTATGAGTGATTTCTCCGACTTCAGCCATGGTATGGTTGATATATAATTTCGCTAAAAAAATTAATAATGACCGATAGTTGTATGTTTGTTTGCTTGTGGTTTGAACAATATTTTGCTCTCTTTTTACGGTTTTAACGTGTGTCCTGCTCCAGTAACTTCGACACATTGAATGAAGATATACCTTATACAATGTTTAAATAGTACCCCAATAAAGACACGTCAAGGTAGAAAATCAAACAAATCGGACATTATCAATTAAACCGGAAGTTACATATACCTGACCGGAACTAGTGTCGATTACTCTTAAAATATTGTTTCCAAAGTCGATAATTTGATAGTAGGTGATACTTTCTTCTACGTAGATGATTATATAATGTACGTAGATGAAAGTATCTTCTACGTAGATGCGAGTAGTATTATCTACGTAGATTATAGTATTATTTACTATCAAAAGGCAGCAATGAGGATTTGGGTGATCCTGGTTAAATCAGGCTGGTTAGGCTCATCATCAGCTCAGGGCCCTTGCCCTCGCTATACCAGCCCAGACGGCGCTGCCTAGTCGAACCCACCCAGAACGTTTCGTAGAATGTGAAGACTCCCCATATATTTTACTTGCTGACTTTGGGGACAATTACACACACACAATTAATAAACAACTATTAAATACACATATTGTATACAGTAATAAAACAAAAGCACCAAATATTTCAACCTTGAATTTCTCATATACACACATTCACATACATATTGCAATTAGCAATGGCAACCCAAACAATTAATCACGGCAATGTTTGGCGAAAGAAAGATATGTTGCAATGTTAATTTTTCTATTGTTTCAGACCATACTCCTATTGTCCTAGCCCCCCACGGGCATAAGACTGGCATATGTCACCAGAGCGGTACACATTAACACTGACAGTTATGTCCCTTCAGCAAAGGGGACACAACGTCCGCTCAGCAACAGGTGCGTGAACGACGCGAGATAAACACGGTGCTTTACTGACTTAGGGACTTCTTTGAATGGAAACGAGGAGACTATATTAACTCTGAACGGGGTATATATATCAGATGAATATGTTTTTTACAGATTTTATGTATATACTGAAATACTCGAATATACTTTTCTATGCATGGAATTTCATTTGAGCAAATAATTATAATAATAATAATAATATCAATATTATTAATAATAATAATAATAATATAATTGAGAATATATTATATATTCTCATATGAAAAACAGAGAGAGAAAAGTATACAAGTATTCAAATATTTCAGTATTTGCAGCAAATCTGTAAAAACATCATATGATTTTTTAACGGTAAAGGAAAATGGATTTTATGTTTAATATTGCTTTAATAACCTATATGGCATAAGTGTTATAACAATATGATGATCATGTATTTGTTAAAAAATAATTTAATTTCAGTTTAATTAAATATTATGGCATAATTGTTATAGTAGCAA